ATTCGCGGCAGGTGCAATACTCTCGCAAGGTGCGGTCCAGATTTCGCGGCAGGCGCAGCACTTTCGCAAGAGGTACCAATTTCGCGGCAGGCGCAGCACTTTCGCAAGGTACGGTGCAGAGTTTGACGCAGGCGCAGCATTAAATTAGCGGGGGGGTTGGGGGGGGGGCGGCAGCCCCCCCCATGATGTTCGAGGAAGTGATGATTCAACAAGGGCTGCGCTAAGCTTTGTAAGCATTCTACAAATCAGCAGGGGGGTTGGGACGGGCGGCAGTCCCCCCCATGATGTTCGAAGAAGTGATGATGCAACAAAGGGTGGTGATGATCGAAGAATTGATGATTCAGCAAAGGGTGCGGTAATCTCTGTAAACATTCTGAAAATCAGCGGGGGGGTTGGGGGAGGCGGCACCCCCATGATGCTCGAAGAAGTGATGATTCAACAAAGGGTGATCATCACCCTTTGTTGAATCATCACTTCTTCGAGCATCATGGGTTGGGGCGGCCGCCCCCCCAACCCCCCCGCTGAGGGCAACTGGGGTCGAGCTTGGCAGCTGGAGGGAAGCTGCAATGTGAGAACAACATCTTGAAGGAGCAGGTTGCCGGCCTGGTGCAGCAGCTGGCAGTCGTGCGTGAGCAACACGGAAAGGCGACGGCTCTGAACGACGAGTGGCGCGTCTTCTGGCAAGGTGCCAAGGCGCGGCATCAGGAAGAGATTGCGAGTTGGAAGGCGTCTTACGAGCTGCAGGGTAAACCGAAACCAGGGAGATGCAGCTGCGAGACCTTACAGAACTGCGCCAACAGGCAGGGTTGAGAACTGAACTCATGTGAGGGTCGCGTGTTTGCTCACTTGCAGGCCGATGAGGACTGGAAGATCAAGAAGAACCTGGAGCGAGAGCTGTCGGAGTTGCGGTGCAAGGCCGATGCTTCGCAAGTCCACGTTCGTGTAACTGTCATCGCGCAGAGTGCTCATTATTATTGTTGCTTGGCAGGTTCAGCCACCAAAGAAGCGCAAAAAGGAGAGTTCTCTTTACGAGTGGCCTTGTGCGTTGTGTTGCCGAGCAGCTCTGCAGGACGGTGTACCAGGCTGAGGGGACTCCACGTCATCATCTCTCCAACTCAGGCCCCAGTGTGAGACAGGTGAGACAGGTGAGACAGGTGAGACAGGTGCTAAAAACAGACTACGGCTGCCTCAGCCGTGTCTCAGGTGTCTCATGCTGCCGTGGGCTGTATCCAGAACTTTTTTTCTTCGCCGGAGGCTTGGAGCCCATCATCAGACCCAAAAAATGCATGCTTGTCTTGATTTTTTCTTGGACGTGCTCCTTTCAGCTGCAGCTCGCAACATCCACCCCGAGGAAGCGCAGACAGTCTCCTTCAAAGACGACATCTCCAGGTCCAAGCCTTGTGTTTTTTCAGTATCTTCAGTTATCGCACGCGTGAACGATGAGGCAAATAGTGAGACCGGTCTGATCAACTCTTTTCACATGTTGCGCTTGCAATCCGTCAGGACTTTTTGACAAGAGTGTTGAAGTCAATTGAGAGTTGTGCCACTGTTTCATTTGACGGTGCTCGCGTGACCACTAACAATCACATTTGCCATACTGCTGCAGAATGAAAAAGACGTCATAGCTCTTCATCTTGAGACAATTCAAGCAGACTGTGATGGTGCGTGTGGGTTCGGGGAGGGGCGTTTCTTGCACGAGTGCTTCGTTGTGGCTCATTTGCAGCAGCCTTTTGTGGGAGCGGAGGCAGAAGGGGGACATAGGCCGGGGTCCTGGGCATTCTTGTCAGGCTTCGTTCGGGTGCAGTATTCACCAGGCTTCTCCAAGGGGGCTGTCAAGTCTGTCAGGCTGCGTCTTCCGCACCGGGCCATGGAAGTTTGGGGCGTTACCAGTGTATTGCACGGGGGAGGACGGGGTTATGGCTCGTGCCGTCGGCTTCCTCTTGCCACCAGCGAAGAGGGCTCGCTGCTCTGGTCCTGAAGGCTTTGGGTTTCTGTGATGCTGGTTCAATTGCCCTTGCAATTTGCAGGCTCGCTCCCCAAGCTCCACGACATGCGGAGGGCAGATTGCGTCGCGGAGTATGTTGCCAAGGGAGGAACAGGTGCAGACAACCTCACGGTTCTCGAACTGAAGGAATGGCTGGCAGAAAAGCGGATTCGAACATTCCGGATGCTAATGATGCTCAGTCCATGAGGTTCGCGGCAGCGGGCGCCGCAGCGGCAGCGGGCGCAGCGGGTGCAGGGTTCTCGGCATCCTTAGCCTTGACGCGAAACCTACGGCCCTGCTGGTGGCTTTCTCTGTTCCACCGGATAGTGATGTTCCACCGAAGCAGAGCTCCGGGCTCATCCAGGAGCGCCTGGATCCTCGAGTACTCTTGCTTGGCTTCCTTCGTCTCCGAGGGTCTCTGCCTCTGCCAGTCCAACCTGGTGATCCGCTCCGCACCGTCCGCCACCGTCAAGTGGCCCTCGAAAATATGTCTCGGCCACTCGGTCAGGTCCTCGATGGCGACGCCATCCGTCCCCGACCAACATCTCGATGAAGAGTCTTGTGTCCGCTCACAGGGCTGGATTCCATGGCAACGGGCCGCCACCGGTCTCCCGACGCTGCGAGGTCTCGGTTAAACAATGTCCTCCATAATTAAGAATTTTAAGAAGGTGGCTTGGTAACCATGAAACTATCATGACACGCGAAGAGTATACTAATATATGGGACGCTGCTTGGGAGCCGAAAAGATCAGCACCGTTCAAAACACCTCCTACAATACCAGTGGATGAGCCGAAATGTCATGCCTCTGCTTGCTGGACTTTGGCCGGACAGCTGCAACATCCGACTATCGAATAAGTGAGACACACAGTAAACAAAGACGTCCACTGGCAGTCTACTGCCGTCGCGTGACGGCCCACGCCATTCCGGCTCATCGGCATCCGGACACTTCGTCCGCGCCCAGTTAATTTCTCACTGACGCCATCCCGGCAGCGTGGCGTCGTCTGTGGTCCGGAAGCATGCCTGCCGCACCCTTTGCTTGAATCATCACTTCTTCGAACATCATGCCCCCCCAACCCCCCCTGCTGATTTGTAGAATGCTTACAGAGCTTTGCGCAGCCCTTGTTGAATCATCACTTCCTCGAACATCATGGGGGGGGCGGCAAGCCCCCCCCAACCCCCCCGCTGATTTAATGCTGCGCCTGCGTCAAAGTCTGCACCGTACCTTGCGAAAGTGCTGCGCCTGCCGCGCAATTGGCACCTCTTGCGAAAGTGCTGCCCCTGCCGCGAAATCTGGACCGCACCTTGCGAAAGTATTGCGCCTGCCGCGAGATCTGTGCCTGACCTTGCGAAGGTATTGCGCCTGCCACGAAATCTGTACCTGACCCTGCTAAAGTGCTGCGCCTGCTGGGAAATCTGTACCTGACCTTCCTCACCCCGCTGATTTGTGAGCATCATGGGGGGGCTGCCCCCACCAACCCCCCCGCTGATTTTCAGAATGTTTACAGAGATTGCAGCACCCTTTGCTGAATCATCACTTCTTCGATCATCACCACCCTTTGTTGAATCATCACTTCTCACGCCTTGTTGAATCATCACTTCCTCGAACATCATGGGGGGGGCGGCAAGCCCCCCCCAACCCCCCCGCTAATTTAATGCTGCGCCTGCGTCAAAGTCTGCACCGTACCTTGCGAAAGTGCTGCGCCTGCTGCGAAAATGGCACCTCTTGCGAAAGTGCTGCGCCTGCCGCGAAATCTGGACCGCACCTTGTGAAAGTCCTGCACCTGCCACGAAACTGTCCCTGACCTTGCAAAAAAGTGCTGCGCCTGCTGCGAAATCTTTACCTGACCTTCCGAAAGTATTGCGCCTGCCACGAAATCTGTACCTGACCTTGCGAAAGTGCTGCGCCTGCCGCGAAATCTGTAACGCACCTTGCAAAAGCGCTGCGCCTGCCGCGAAACCTGTACCTGACCTGCAAAAGCATTGCGCCTACCTTGCGAAAGTGCGGCGCGTGCCACGAAATCTGTACCTGACCTGCGAAAGTGCTTCGCCTGCCACGAAATGAATACGGTTTTTTTGATCCCTATAAAGTGTTTTTTTGATCCTCTGATTTTTCATTTTTAATATTACATCAATGAGGATAAGTGTTTGTTGATCCCTAATAAGTTTTTTTGATCTTTAGAAATAAGTTTTTGTTTGATGCCTAAAAAGTCGTTTTTTGATCCCTCACCCCCTTGGGTGGTGGGCAGGGCATGGTTGTGGCGACTCTTTTAGGCCAGGATCCGGGAGCTCAAACTGTGTGGGGTGGTTTGTGCGGTGCCGGCAAGATGTGTGTGTGTGTGTGGCTTTGTTTGCCCCGTTGTTTGAGGGAGCCTTGTTTACGGTTGTAAAATAACACAGACCTGCATTTTGGGGACCCCACGTTTTGAAAGGAACGCATCATGTGCGCCCCAACTGGTCAAGAATGAACAACATACTGTATGGTTCATGTTATGTTGGTACCGTGCTTTCCCTTTGTTGTAAATGAAGTATGTTTAGCATGACCACGGCGCGAGCATTGTTGCTGCTAGGACATGTTCCTAGGGGCTGAAGAGTTCATTTGGGTACGTGTCAAAATAGGGGACCCCCCAAAATGGGTGGTGTTCGTGTTGGTGTCCCTTTAAATCCTGAAAAAGGAGTACCCTGAAACAACACACACCCATTTGGGCAGCCAGCAGGAACAAGGGTCTCATCCATCCCAAGTGATGCACTAGTGCCTGGCGTCGGTGTGTCATTCCACAGCTATAAACAAAAGAAAGCGCAAACATGAATATATATATATATAGAACACTCAAAACAAGCAAAGTACCCATCTCTTCTTCTTCTTGCTATTCTTCTTCTCCTTCTTCTTGTTGTTATTATTCTTCTTCTTCTGCTTCTTCTCCTTCGTCTTCTTCTTCACGTCTTCGTCTGACTTCGTCTTCTTCGTCTGACTGCTTCGTCTTCTGAAACCTGCCTAGGAACTCTTTGCCCGTGCCTCAGGTGTGACTCTCTCAGAGGAGATGCGGTGGTGGGGCTGTTTTTCAGCTTTGGCGATTGCTGCTTGGAAGAGCTTAGAAAGTGGCGCCCATTTTTCGGCAGGGTATCGTTTTTGAGGGTATCTGTTGTTTTTTTCAGGTACCTCCCTTAATTTGTGGTTTGGATTGGTGGTTTGGGGATTTGAACCCAGTTCCCTTTGACCCCAAATGGGGAAGGCAGCAGGGTCCGAACCACCAAACCGCACCACAAATTAAGGGGAAGCTGATTTTCAGAGTTGTTTGAAGGTTGTTTTTTTTGGGGGGGGAAAGGTTTAGAGGACAAACAAACGTAAACGGAACACTTGTGGTGGTCCTCCCATTTTAGGACATGCCCCTGCAGGGTTGTTCAGGACAGAGGCAATGGTTTTCACCTCTTCCCCACCTCCTTGTGTGGCCACGCATTTAGTTCATGTCAAACCAATCCCCGGTACACTAGCTTCCTTGTCTTCTGAGCAACCTGTTCAGCAAAGGCAATATTTCTTACTGCGCCTGGTTCGCTCCCCGTTCAGGATCTTTTAACTTAAGATTTTGTTGTGCTACATTTGTTTGGGCTGTTTTGCGCATGGGGCATGAGTTGATTGGGAGAGCCAAACAGCTTGACCACACATAGGTCAGCTCAACCTCCCTTCAGTGTCTGTAGCCACTGGCTTTGCTGGCAACCATTCGGGTCACTTTGAAATCCCCGCCGGCCAGTGGGGTTCTTCTCTTGCGGCAACTCAAAGCACTGAACATTGCCAGGCTCTGAGATGGTTTCCCTGGCGTGCAAACCACTCCCAGACGGGTTGATGGGATATACAACCACCAGCGGGGCCACTGTATAGAGGGTCCAAATCCCTATTTTGACACATGCCCTTGTGGAAAAATGATGGCACAAACATTTGTTATTGTGAGGATACCCTTTTCAGCTCGGCTGCTTGGTTCTTTGTTACTTGGTTTTGGTATGTGGTATTCACTTCAAAAGGAAGCACCTTGGCACCAGCCAATGTCCACATAGGATTAATTCACCTTGGCACCAGCCAATGTCCACATAGGATTAATAAATGCATGCGAAATAAGGACAAATGGGGGGAAATATATTAGTACATGCACCGGGGCTAAAGACAAGCACCCGCCACCCGCGCCAACAATAGTCCCCCCCCCAAAAAAAAAGGAAGAGAAAGAGAGAAAGAAGAGGAGAGATAGCCAAGCCAACACCTGGTCCTTGGATCTTTGGTACCTTGTTCCTTAAATTCCAAATTGTCAGCTTTACCAAACCCATGTTTTCTTACATGTCTCTTGTTTAAAACCTGCCCACAATCAAACCCACAAAGGGGGTAGTACTTCAGCCCCCAACTTGACATTATTTCAGGCGCCCCCGAAATAAAGTCTGGTTGCGTGGCCCCCCAGAAAAAACAAAAGGAAGCTACAGCAATACTAAATCAAATGGAAACTCAAGTCTACCAATACTAAATGAAATGGAAACTCACTTGAAGTGGATCTCAAGATACTATTCCAGGTGCCCCCATCGTTGGGGGGGGGCGGGGACCCCGTTTACTAATCCCAGGTGGACATTACTAAATAGGGGCCCTTCTCATGTTTTCCGCCCAAACCACTGGCCCCAAAACGGACTGGGGTCACCAATCGAAAGGCACCCACAAAAACGCACACCATGGCGACGGGACGGCTTTCCGGGATGGCGTTTTTTGGGGCCGAGTGGATGCTTCCAATGGCTGAAAATAAAGTGGGTGTGGCTCAAAATTAAACAGGAGGGGCAGACCGCAAGTTTTGGTCCATGTTTCCACTTACCAGGGCAACCCATTTTGGAATTCCGGTTTTTTGCGCCACAGCCATATGTGCTATTTTCCGCTTGTTGGATTGAAAGGGATTCTATCGCAACTGGACATATATTTCACATGTTTTGCAGGGCACGCAAATGGAAGGATGGTTTGTAGTTGTGGTTGGTTTTAAGTTGGAGTCGCTGGCTTGCCCAAAGCTTGCTGGTGCGATAGGTAGGGAATGACCGAGGGTGTTGGGAATGAACCTAGAGATTCCCTTAAAGGAAACCATAGGGGATGGTTTTTAGGGGTCATTCCCTCATTCCCTGCTGAGAAGCAAGAAAAGGACTTGCTTTTACTCCTCCCGAGGTGGTGGTCACTAACATTGCTGGCGTGGAAGTCGCCACTTGGGAAAATTCGTTGGGGGGCGGGTCCCCGTGAGCTCCGGACTTGTGCCAAACTTTCATTTGCGTAAGAATATGTTTTACTTGTCCCTGTTGGTGTTGAAGATAATCTATCATTGGAAATATGTTTTCATTTTTTTCCAGGGGCAAACAAGCAAATGGAAGCGGCGCTTTTTGGGGTGGCCGTGGTTTTGAGGATACCTTTTTAAGGTTGGTTTAAGGGAACCGAAAGGGAGCCCCCTGTTTGTTTACGTGTGCCATCATCAAACGACGCTAAAGAATATTGACCCCGGATTAAACTCTGGATTGACTTCTGGAGTTTTCGCCCCAAAGGGTTCATCTAACGGGCACCACCCTCTAGCAATCGCCTGGCGGTTCCCATCATGTGTTATTGGTGGGGATGGTTTTCAAGCCCTTCAAACGAAAACGGGGTTCAGCCACTGTAAGGATTCCTCTTAGAGAAACTATGACCATAACTCATGTAGGGAATTAGACCATGACTCGTATCTCAAACCAGATCTCCTGGATGGGAAAACATATTGCGTTGCAAACGAGCGTGGATGGGACCAGCATCATACAGGGGTCATCTTACTTGCGACTCAAAATATGAATCAAACCGCGGTGCTTCCTTTGGTTTCCCTTTGAGTTCTTACCAAATGGGGTCCGCCATGGTTGCCTGGTGCTCAGTTGGTATCGGTTTGAGTTGATTGCACTATATCGACAGCGCTTGTAGTTGGCACGATGCACGGCTTGGCCTGACATGGGTCATGCTTGCTTGGATCTAGGGGCAGTGCATGTTGAGCCAGCAACGTGGCCTGCTTTGGGAGTGTGTCAATTGCATTGAATGGGGATACCCAGATGCTAAATGATCCAGAATTGTTAGTTGTACCTTGAGGAAACCAACAAGACATAACATATGTTTCACTTGCCGGTCCCTTGGAAACCAATCCCCGATTTGGTTTCCTTTAAGAGAATCCCTTCCGGTTCTTTCCAAACACCCGGAAGGTCATTCCCCACCTATCGCACCAGCAAGTTAAGCTGAGTTGCCATTTGGTTGCCATACTGTGCTTTTGCTTCGCCCTGGCTCATACCTGGCACTGCGATTCGTTTCTCTGCGTACATCTCAACGAAAGCTTCAAGAAAAGATAGGACTATCAAGCTACACCGGGTCAAAATGGCACACCTTTGTTTTGTCTTGTTTTTTTTGGGGGGGGCAAGTCAAGGGGATGTTTCAACTAATATGGGGGGAATTGTGCCACCCACTTTTACCGAAGTGTACGGATCCTTGGGGCGATTTCCCAATGAAACCAAAGCGAACACAACTATTTGGGGGAGTCACTAGATTTTCCCATGAAGGCTCCTACCCTGTTTCTAACATGAGTTGGGAAGAGAAGTTCGGTAGGGCAGTGCAGACTTGTTTGGGTGAATTTTGCCAGGAAGCTCCATGGATTCTTTTGTTTGCGGACTCTCTTTTCAAGCTCAGATTGGTTGCAAGGCAATGAGAAGGACAAGCACCATCCTGGAGTCCATTCCCTAGCCATACATCTTTCAAGACACCCTTTTGAACTTCCATTTGCTTAAGAATACCTTGTATTAAAGAAAGTCTATCACTACTGGACATAGTTTCTCATTTTTTCCTGGGGACGTATCCGCAAATGGAGGTGAACTATCCTGGATAATTTTTATCTTGTCCGCGCAGATTATCTTTCAGAGGTTGGGAAGATATCCTACGTGCTGTGCCTCTTGGTCTGCTCCCCTCCTTTGATCCTGGTCCTGCCACTTGGAACGCAGCGTGGGGGAGAGTTGCCAAGGATGCAACCCCAAAAGCTCATTTGATTGGAGGAGTCTCTTGCTTGGAGGACCCCCATTGTTCAGTTCCATCTTAAACTGTAGAGTATCTTCAGGGCTGTTTTGTCCAACATGTTGTGGGGTAGACGAATCAAAATCGGACCTTGCTTTTTCTCTTCTTCTTTTTTTCTACGCCCTGGGGGAAAGTGACTAGCCAAATGTCATTGGCACTCGGGCACCCAATGTCCCATTTGTTGTCTCAAGAGTCCATGTAGATTGGGTGTTCGGCCAGGTTGGTCCGTGGTTGGCATCAAAGGTTATAGCCTTTATCACCTGCCAGGCTAACTGCACATGGGAGACTTATAAGTAGGTTATAACCTAGGTTACCAGCCACTTACAAACTTGACCGAACATCCAGGTAGCATGGTAGTTCAGGGCGAAGAATCCAGCCTTGGCACAGTATCAACTCCTATTTCTTGTCTCTTCATGTCGACGAGTACATCCTACTCGATGGTTTAGGATGCATTTGCTGCGAAAGCACGTGGTTTTGGAGGCTCGGATGTGTAGAAGGATGTTCGTCTCCAGGATTCTTGCCAGAATTGCGTTGCGTGGTGCCCCTCTGTGTTTTCTTGTCCCGACCAGCAAGAAAGACACATGTTGAAGAAGAAGGGCTCGGAGGTAATTCGGTCTTACCCGTCCTTGAATTTCAAATTATGGGCCTCATGGCCCAGAATTCGTATCTGAGCGCCATGAGCACCCAAACCCAACGGCTATTTCGGGTGGGGATCTATGGCACCTGACAGAGAGTGTCTCTTGAGGAAATTGATCTTCCAGGTTTCCTTCCCAAATTCCAGTGAGAGGAAGGGTACTTGAATTGATTGAGAGTAGAATGACGCCTGTACAATATATATATATATATATTTATTTATAGCTATGCCGGCGCAACGCAACATGAAGCATGGGGTTTTCCTTACAGAGCGGGTTTGTTCCCCTCGGATTCAAATGCATTTCGGTTTTTCAGGAGGCCCCTGGTCAAACAGATGAATCCTCACTGGTTTCACCTGTTCTTTCCAGTCACCCGCCATGTCCCATGGCACACCTTGTTTCCGTCCAGTAGGTAAAGCCTTTTAAGCGTCACAGGGACCCTAGGGGTTTCAAAATAGTGGACTCCTATTTGGTTGGTGTTTAAAGGAAAACCAGGAAGCAGCTCATTTGTAGGGGACAGCGAATTACGACATATCCACTGAAAATAATAGATCCAGCAACTGGACCCTCAAAATGAACTTGGCAGGCCACAGTAATCTGCGGTGGCACTCATTTTGTCAATGCGTGATTTGTGTTTTGTTGTCCCAACAAGCATTCGGTATTGAAGCTCAAAAGTGCACGGATGTGTCTTTGCCTGTCGTACATCGACATGTTTGGTCCGCTACTTGGCTGTTTGTCACTTGGTTTACTTGTGGGCCCCACAAGTAAACCAAGTGACAACTTGTGGGGGTTTTCAAAACTAGGTTACAACTGGACCCCCGCAAACAAGTCCGCTTGGTTGTTTGTCCGTTGGTTTATTCGTGCGGGATTTCCAAGTTGGGGGCCCGTGTTGGCAGGTCCCCTTGACCTTACAGAAGGCACCGGTCTCACGTTTCGAAGGTTGGGCATGGGCCACGTGGGCAGCATCCCAGCCACCAACTGGCAGCAGCTGCACTGGTTGCACTTCTTGACCTCGCTGATGTGGAACACCTCGGGCGGCGGATCTGAAATTCTGAAATCGATTCGACGGTGAGTCAGGGGGAAGCCCAGATGAAGTTAAGCCCCTACGCTCCCTTCCTGAGTTCTAGGACTTTAAACTTTTTTGGAAAAGCCAGTTTAGTGACAAATAGAAAGTTTGGACTTTTTGTTGGCCCATCCACTCCGGAAGTGAGTCTGAATGTAGTGTGTCTGTGGTAGGGGTGTCCACGCTTCTAGAGGGGCCACACTCATATTGCTAAGCAAGGGTTTAACTTCATCCGTCAACTTTGTGGAGCAACAAATACAGACCTATCCAAGCAGGCTTGTGGGATCACTCGGGGTTTATCCAACCACTTCAGTGATACAACTTGGAATCTCCTCCTTTCTATAAAGGGGTAGTCTTTGGGAGGCCCTTTTTGTCGTATCACAGAAGTGGATTCCATTTCCCACCCTGTCTCTAAGGAATGGGAGCAGACAGACATGTGAAGGTCTTCTCCAAAAAATGTGCGATTTCAGGACAACCTTTTGACCCAAGCGAGTCTCACTTGCCCAAAGCGAATCGACCTTTTGAGCTTTTAGCTTCCCCTTGGTTAGTCATGGCCCCCAAAGGTTAGACTTTTAGTTCTGAGTCCTTTGGGTAACTGATTTATAGAAAAGCAAAGTTTGCATTGTTCCAGCACTATTTATCAATTGATAGCCCAAACAATTAGACATTTCTTTGGGCGCGACCAACATCCTTAAAAATGCGTACGCCACATTTGGGCCAAGTTCTGCGGAGGTTTGTGTTCGTTGGCAAGCACAGACAGACTCCCATGTACCCAAGACGCATGCCACTAATTGGCTGTGGTTGTCAAAACTAATGGGATCCCATTTTGGTTGGTAGGTGAATTCACCACCCATTTTAGAACCTATTTCAGTGGGGACTGTGGATGGACGAATTCCTGCACCACCTAACAGACCTGGAAGTATGATTCCCCTGTAAATACCAACAAACAATGGTTTCCCACGGTTTCAAAGTGGTGCAGGATTTTTCGTTCATCCACAGGATTGGTTGATGTTCTCTGGGGGCTAACCGATTTGGGTTTTGACCCATAGCCAATTGCCAGACTCGGCGCTTGTTTCTTCTTTTATTTTTTTCCATGTTCCCTGTGAAGCAAAGAGCTTTCCCAATTTTGCGTGGCCCAATGGCTGGCCAAGTTACCCAGTTCCCATTTCAGCAAAGAGTATTTTTTACTCAGTTGTTCAAAGCCGACCTTTTGACCTTTTGGTGTTCCGTTTTTGGTCTACTGTTAGTAGCGGTCCCAAAATATTAACCTTTTTTTCCAGGTCCTTTGGGCAAGTGAGTTTCATGCTCCCATAGCCAAAGTATGGGCGTGCATGGAATTTGGAAATCCCCAACAACATAGGGCTGTCTTGTTTCTTGGTTGGCGTTGACCCCTTTGCAAACAGTTTCAGGTTTTGCGGGTCCCTTGGTTTCCCAAGCTGTTGTTCGCCACTCGTCCCACTCGTCTCACTTCACAAGGCTTCGACGACGCGGGCGCCTCCGCTGCTGAGATTGAGGGCCCGCGGGAGGTGTTCCCCAAAGCGCCGGGACGCCCAGGTCAAAAAAAGCCGCAAGCGCTGATTCGTCAAATCCAGGGCCTCGTCTCTCAAAATCAGGGACCAATTCCGTCAGGTTGGTTCCTAAACTGGGGATCATCTCCAATTTCAAGAAACACCCATGTTGTGGCTGCCCTTGTTTGACCATGATCAGAGTCACCCCCTGAGTGCATGGGAGTTATGGTCAGGTTTATTTGGGCAGTTCTGATCTCGGTTGCGAAAGGGGTTTCCTTGTAGTGGTTTTCCAAAAGGAAGGATGAACTTGGATGGGCCAACATTCCATTTTGAACAGCCCAGTTTATATAAACTTTCATAGCTGTCTTGGTGAACCAAGGGTCGACGGGTGAAGGGCACTGCTCAATTGATGCCAGGGTCTGGTTCTTCAACTCACTTCAGTGGCATGGCCAAAAAAATCACCAACCTTTTGGTTGACATTGAACTTATGTCTAGAAGTATTTTGTCCAACTTGGGAAGTGAGATTGGGCGTGGGAATCGTGCCATTCACTTTCACCCAGAATGTTTGTTTTTATTATTTTCTTTTCCAAAAAACATAAAATCTAGTTGATACTTACGAACCGTTGATACCTCCAGTTCATGGAAGGCCATGTGGGGTCTGCAAGTGAAGCCGCCTGGCAAGCCTCATCCGGCTGATCTGATCTATCCAGATCTGGCCTATTGCGGGATGATGCTCTTGTAATGTTGTAATGAAGGGATGAACATCAGACAGCAATGATAGGTGGCTCACCACCACCCCTTTGTTTTATGCAGTGTTGTTTGTTTTTGATAAAGATGCTGGAGGTAGGCTAAGACTTTGCTTGGGCCTGAGCATGTGTGCAAGAATAGGGGAGCCCTAGAAACGGTTTTGAATCCGAAACATTCACTTCAAATCGCCAGCATCAAGAGCATGATCCAAGATTCTCAGAGCATCACCCATAGAAACCTTTTGAAACATCTGAACAAGTTTGGCAAAGTTGTATCCTTCAAGAACCCAGCAAAAGGACACCACCTGTATAGATCAGGTTTTTTTTTTAGGGTGTTGGTTTCAATCGAAACCAAAAGGAACACTTGTTTTTCTTTTGGGGGGGGTTCCCCTATTTTGACACATGGCCCTTATTCGGACACGGCAAGACATCTGGCTGAGGCTTGGTATCTCGGTGGCTCTTGTGACAGCACTCTATGCGCCCCAGCTGCATGCTGAGCCACTTCTCCATTGGTCGCCTCGAAGCCGTCATCTGTAAACCAAAAAGGTGCCTCAAGCAAAAGTTTGTTTTCAGTTGTTTGAACAAGTGGTTGAATTCGCTCAAGGCGCTCTTTTTTCATTGCGTGGCTCTACTGCCTGGGTTAATTGGGGTAACGATCCCTATATATAATTATTTGTGACTATCTTGGTAGGGCATGTTAATTGGGGACCCCTTTCGTGGACATCATTTAGGGTATTTATGTCCCCATCCGATTTTCAGGGCCCCTTTTGAAATTAATAGCCGTTTGACACAGTTGGTTATGGTTCACTGTCATCTATAGTAGCTTGATTCTGACTGCAGTCGATCAAGCTGCTTGACTCTTGATCTTTCATGCGATTCATGGCCGTGGTTGCACTGTTCCACCTCAAAAGGACCTGCTGTTCAGGCCACCTGAAAGATGTCCATTTGAACGTGGCCATGCAGTGGGTTCTGCAAGTACTGCTAGAAGTGACTTGCACCAGCACTCGGTTCACCCAACAAATCCTTGAAACACCGAGTTGAAGAGTTCACGGTTTTGTGTTGTTTCTTTCCAGGCGCCTGTTGGGAGCTAGCGTACCCAGGAGAGTGTACCAGATATTGTTGCTTTGTTGCCAAGGGGGGTCTGGTACCTACCAATAGACTTCGACGTGGCTATGAATCTCAATGAGAATCCTCACACTTGGTCGACATTATCCCCAAATGATGTCCGCCAAAGGGTTTATGTCTAATTCATACCCGAATGTCTGTGTGTGTGTTTCTGAAAAAAGCAAAAGTCCAGAAGTGGTGGGCTCCTTTCATCTCATCTCGAAAAGGTAGCTTGGAAGAATCGCATTTTCGTGTCCCCGTGTTTTCCCCGAAGGGTCCAAGGAATTTCAGCGAAGGTGCCCACGTGTGCAACGCTCAAACCACTGTACTTGGGGTTGGTGGGGAGGTTCTCAGGTCCAGAGCGGTTTTAGGCAGCCCTACTGAAGATGACTTGCTACGCACGCGAGAGGTCTGAAGGCCCCTGTTCAGGGAGTGACCATGACCCCCAAAAACAGATTCGTCCATGTCACACATCTTGTGTAAGACATGTTGCTTAAACCAGGGTTCCATTCTACCCCAAGGTAGGCCCATCCCCTAAGGGAGCGTGACTTCCCCCAACACGGGAACCACTTCCTTCGCTTCCGGAGATTCTGCCTATCGCGGTGGGTGTGGCTGTGGAGCCCAACACCGAGCTCTGGCACGACGGCTTCCTCGCGAAGATTGGCCGCGCGGCAAGATACCCTCCCATCCCATTTTTGGAGCGCTCGTCCATGAGAAAACTATCATAGGGCCCTTGGAACGTTGAGCATTCGTCCAAACGGAACCTGAACCATTTTGGCCTTGGAGCCCAGAAATGTCCAAACCAATTGACGGGTGATTTGCAAGTCCAAGGAAAAAAAACACTTTGAGGAGCAAGCCTCAGCTGCGGATTGTTTTGTTCGGGGTTTTGGATGAACATCCGTGCACCCCCCCCCAAATGGACCGTTTTGCGGATTCTGAAGGAGCTCCAATTTGGGGTTTTCGCATGGCCCTTTGGCTTTTCTTGCTGGTGCTCAGCAGGGAATGACTCCTATGAACCATCCCTTGTGGTTTCCTTTGAGGAAACCCCTAGGTTCATTCCCAGCACCTGGGACATTCCCTACCTATCGCGCCTGCAAGTTTTGTACGGTTCTCAAAGCATGGCTTTTTGAGTCCCGCGTGGTTTCCCTTTCTTCAGCATCTTGGGTAACGTTGATTCGGAACTCAAATGGACAGAACATTGTGTGGCCTCGGATCCCGACGGTCACCTATGCGTCAAAGGGATTCGGACCCCCCCAACAAAAACAGAAGAACAGAAACAAACAAACAGACAGACAAACAAGCAAACAAACAAACAAACAAACAAACAACGGAAGAAAGAAAGAAAGAAAGAAATAAAGAAAGAAAGAAAGAAAGAACAAACAGAAAGAAAGAAATCAAGAAATAAAGAAAGAAATCAAGAAAGAAAGAAAGAACAAAAAAAAGAAAGACAGACAGACAGGAAGGCAGGAAGGAAGGAAGGAAGAAAGAAAGAAAAATCAGAAAGAAAGAAATAAATAAAGAAAGAAAGAACGAAACAAACACACACACAAAAGTTATCCTTTTGGCTTCCCTTTCAACTCTCAACCCGCCAAACTGGGTACCCTCCCTCCAATATTGGAAGCTGACGGGGTTTCGGCACGTCCTACTGTTGGTAGGGCCTCCAGAGAAAACTGGGGGGTTGAAACCAGGGCTCAGCATTGGGCAGGATCCCCTTTGGCATGGACCCCTGAGGGTTGGATTGGGAGTTGCACCTTTCTGGTTCTTGAGGGTCAATGGAAACCATCCCTAACATGCGCACATGTGCAACGCTCAAACCACCCCTAACATGGTTGTTGTTGAGAAACATGTTTCCCCATTTTTGCTTATTGCGGTTTTGTGGGAAATCTCCACTTCACTGCTAAAACTTATTTTTTTGCTCCCCTTCCAACGTCAACCAAGCTAACCTCACCAATCGAAGAGTTGGTTTCTTCACCAGTCAGCAGACTTCCAACTCCAAAGCCAAGGGTTGCTTTGGCTCCTGAAGGAACCCGGGGAGAAACCCATTTAAGCCCTAGGGTTCCATGGGTTCCCTATGGCTTTCAAGCGTTTTTTTGTGGTTTTTGTAGGGTTGGTGAGAGTTCCTCAGGGAAACCCTTTGTGTTTTCTCAAAGAATGCTCCTTGGCCCACCCACCCGACTTCCTACCTCCCAGGCGCTGAGCTGGGCGGCGTGGCCCTGGGCCTCGCCATGAGCATCGCCGGCTTCGTGTCTTCGCTGGCGCAGCGCCTCGTTGCGTATGCCGCGTCGCTCGCGTCGCCGCTCGCGTCGCGTTTCTGGAGCCAACCAACAAATTACTTCACTGTTCTTGGCAGGTTTTTTGGTTTTTTAGTTGTTTGGTTCTGTTCAATTTTACTGGGGGTCTGCAAAAATCAAAGTTTTTTGCTACCATACCAAGAGTAGAGATGAAAAGGCCGCAAAAAGAAAGAAAGAGATATCGTTCTTAGTGGGGAGGAGTGCTCCGATGAGGAACTTAGGTTGTTCTAAGGAGAGCAACTTGGTGTAGAAAGTTCAGGAACTCAGGGAGTAGGTTCCCCCCAAGGATGAAGAGTGTGCTGTTGGTTTCCCTTCAAAAAGCTGCAAAAACAGAAAGGATACCGAGACGCCAAAAGGAAGACACAGATGGGTGTAAGCCTTATAAACCACTGCTCATGGATATAATATATAAGTCTCCGTTCAGTGGGTTATAACCAGGCTTGCTAACCACTTGCTAAGTGCCAAAGTTCCATTTTGGGGTTACCCCAATGTTGACCCCATATTAATCAACCCCTGTTTATTAATAGGGGGTATTCCCCTCAAAAGTGGTCAGATTCCCCACCACATCCGAAAAAAAGACAACAGGGGTTGATTAATATGGGGTTACACTATTTTTTTGACCCCACTGCCGTCGGGTGTCTCGAGGCTCAATGCCCTGCTCTGCACCTCGGTCAGGGAGGTCATTTGCCTAGCGGAGCAGGAAGGCCAGCCGGCCACTCGGCCTCACCTGGGTGGCGTGTGGAGTGATGTCTTGCTTGGAAATATAGGGTGACATCACTCCAAGTGACCAAAGGTCTCTTTGAGGGTGTCTTGATGTCTTGGCGTGTGCAGAACCCTCCTTCTGTACAAAAGCCGTTCCCGATTCAACTGGTGGTGGTTTGAAGCGCTAAGCGCTGGGGACCGGAAGTCAGAAGCGGCCACCAGATTACCCGGTTCTTTTCGTGTTCGTTCCTCCCGGCTCTGTTTGAACATGAGATGGGCCGTTTATTTGGCTTATTTGCTAAGTGAAGCTGCTCTTCTGTTTTCTTTGTTTTTTCCCCGTGGCCTCGAGTCTGCTTGGATCGCTGGCCGAAGCCTCAGGAGTTCGATACCTCGCTGGGATCAGACATGGCATTCGATCATTTTCCTGGCTTGCGGATGAAGAGATCCGTCCTAAATTTTGATAACCCTCCAAAAGTGAGGAAGCCCCGACTAAACCCAAAGACACCCCTCCCCTTCTAATTATGTATGAGCTGGGGATGAATCTGGTTGATTCATCCAGGATTCCCACTACCCACATTTCCCAATGATGTTCCCTTTTGGGGCTGCTTTGTTTGCGTGATTCAGGCCGCCTCGGCCCCGTGCAGCATTGCGGATTGAGCCTGCGGGATGCTAACATGTTTTCGCAGAACAACTGCCGTTTGCCCATTCTGCGCAATGTTTGCTTCCAGTTGCTTAAGAATATGTTTTATTTTCTCCTGTTGGTTTTAAAAAGACTTTGTCACTACTGGAAATATGTTTATTATTTATTAATATATTTAATGTTTTTCCAGGGGTCTTAACCAAATGGAAGTTTGCTGTTTTTCCTTATTCGACCGAAGTCTGTCAGTCTGTGCCTTCAAAGCGTTTTTTGAGCGTTGCTCCGTCCACCGTGCAGGCCATGCCGCTCACGAAACGAGCTCGTGTTTGTTGGAAACCACGGACACAGAACATCCCTGGATCGGAAGTAAGAAGATTGCCAAGTGTTATCAAGTTAGAACCATGAGCAGTTCTCGAATGGATCTACAAACATATTGGATGCGATTAGCAGGAAGGCAACCCCCCAAAGGAGATTGGGTGTAACACAGATGCATGCTTCACTTCATATTCCAGTGCTGATTTTTTTAATTCAAGGTGAATGGATGGCGGATTCAGGAAAGCGTCCCACAGATTCCCGGGTTAAAGGCACCCTGGGTGTTGCCCATTGGTGGACATGCCCCCCTTGAAGAAGGGGCACCCCCTCAACGAAAAAACAACCAGGAGTTGATTCAACAGCTCAAGCCACTCATTCTCTGCATCTCAACCTGAGGTTCCTGCAGTGCTGGGACGCTTGCATCCCACCTTTCGCACGCCGCACGTTGGCACTGCAGCCTGGCAGGAGCCCGGTGGTTGGGACGTGGGCGGTTTCCCTAGCCTCTAGAACCAGGGGCTTTAAACCCCACCAATCCAAACCACCACGCAAGGGCTCCCTGACAGTATGGATAATATTGACCCCGGAGGAATAACCCCCTGTCTCTTACTTTTGGGGGTGTTCCCCTCCAAAAGTGATAAATCCCCACTAAAACCACGGACACCCCATATGAATAAACAGGGGTTCGGGGTTTATTAATCCAGGGTCAACATTTTTCAATCCGGGAGCTTTTCCATCCAGTACCTCGCCCCAGTTAGGTGTCTGTGAATGCTGTTTTCCAGTCAAAAACCCGCTGGATGCACCCGGGACGCAGTAGCTGGTCAAATAATGTAGCTCGGTTTCAAACGGGCTCTTCAAAACTGGGTGTAGGGATGCTAGATTCAAAGCGGGCCTTGCCATTGCTTTTTCAGGCATGGGCAGGGCAAGCTCAGACCAATTCTTGTGAATCTTGGCTAGCAGAAGATCAAGCACATATTATACCAAACAGTTGAACAAGTCTTGTTATGAGTCCAAAGGGGTTTGTAAACTGCAAAAGGCGAGTCGCAAGCTGAGAAAACCAATATGAGTTAGAACTGGGCATTGTCTAAACGCCGTGTCGACAACTAGCGCCCCATTCGCGCCTTGGCTACATTTTGTGCCGCACTTGAAAGGGGTGGATACCCTTCGCGTCTTCATTTTGGTTCCTTTGTCAATCCTCAATCAACCAATGCGCAGGGGTGTTCTTGAATTTGGAAAGCAATGACTGGTTTCCCTTGCGGAGAATCAGATCCAGGTCCCACGAGTGCCTGAGGGAGGAACCTAGCGATCGAGGGGCCGAAACGAGGTCGCCTTCGCCATCGTTATGTTGGGCACCTTGAAGTACCAGTTCGTAGAGCTCATCGCTGCCACGGTCATTTTCGACTGCGCTTGGGGCCCCAAGCGGACGGATGGCGGACTGCGGCCGGGGTTGGCAGTGGCATGAATGTGTATGTGTATGCGTATGAGTGTATGTGCATGTGTATATTTGTATGCGTATGCGTTCGTGGCGCGTATGTGTATGTGTATGTGTGTGTATGTGTATGTGGCGCGTAAGAGCTAGTGAGGGCATGCCAAGTCAGCCAGACTGTGACCCAAGTCAGCGGTTCCATCCCAAGTGACGAGTAATCGAGCTGGTGGTCACTTGGGAATCGTCAAACGCGGCGAGCGTAGTTACGATCAGAGTCATTTGTCAGTGCATTCGGGCCCGACACTTTTGGGTTTCTATTTCCCGTTTTGTTTCCATTTCTGGGCTAGTTGCCTTGTGCGGATTGATTTTTCTCGCTTGAGAATGGGTGACGTCGACTTCATCCACTGCCCGGGCGGGCAATTGAAGGATCGGTCTCACTTGTTTATTTCTCCAATTGAAACCACCATCTCAGACGGGTTCCCCTATTTACGTAGCTATTCCCATGTTAGCACCCGGAACGCGAGTCAAATTTTGGCCATGAGGCATGGTGTCCCAGTAGTGCCCTTCTCTACCCCTTTTGTTGGTTGGGAGGGTTCCCCTACTAAAATAGACTACAGAAAAAAAGTTGGTACCCTTATTTTAACCTCTCTACTGGAGGACCTAGGCTCATAAGGCCTTGAAAGCACATTGATCAGGAAGAGCTACCCTCCCACCAACTAACATGGAGGTGCAAAAAGGCCCTTTCCAAGAGGAAAGTAGTCTTTCTATAGGGGTCTGTGCACTTCCATGTTAGCTGGTGGGAGGGTACGGGAAACCTTCCTTTGAAACAAAAAATGAAAGCGGGCCGATGGGACTGTGTAAAAGTCTAGGACATGTAGGGGTCTACCTGTTTGAGGGTGCCCTTCTTTTGGTGCTCAAGGGAAGCCAAACGGAAATCAACTGACGTGACTAAAGGATGCCAATAAAAATATGCTTGTATCAACTGGTTCTCTTTTACTTACTGCAATGGAACAGAGCCAATGAACACTTAAACCCAACGATCCTAATTGTGCCAATTTGAGGGGTCCAACCTAAAAAAAGGACACACACACACACCAAAAAAGGCCAATCTTCAGTTACTCCCAGGTCAGCTTCCTGATCCAGTTTGCGACCTGGATCCATTTCAGGCGCCGGAGAAAACCGGGGCGCCAAAATTCAGCATCACTCTAATTGGTGGCTCCCATCCATCCGGTTCCTTCGCTTTTTAGCTTTTTCATTGAACCTGCTAAAAATTAAACTTTTAGCCGGGGATCTGAGGACAGCCCAGTCTACCACCAACTAACACGGAAGCCACCAGATAATTTGTCCATGTTAAGAGAAAGATTGGTCTTCTAGGACCCCTCAGTCAGGTGCCATGGTAGCGGACAGGAGGGTGATTGGTTTGCTCTAAGATTTGAAACTGCTGCCCGCGGCTCTGCCAGCCTTACTGGTATGCGAAGTGTGAATACCAGATATATGTATGCAGACTAGGAGTATATGTTCAACACATGAAACACTGGCGCGGAAGTTTGAACGGTTCTGTGTCCTTGAAGATGCAACACTGCTCTTTGCCGTTTGGTTTACCAAGCAAACTAACACAAGTAGCATACCAGTCCAAATGACATACTAGCATCACTAGCAACAGTCCCAAAAAAAAATAGAAAGGTCAACATGTGTGAACCAGCGCATTCCGACAGCCTCCAGCTCTCGAATTTAAAGTGTATGGTTGGGTGGTAGGCACAATTCCTAGTGGGGAGGTGATTTTGCTAGTGTACGAAGTTTTGAAACACAACCTTTTGAAACACAACCTTGTAAGTGTTTGTAGGAAGTTTTGACAAAAAACGTATGATTATGCAAAGGTCGTAGTGTATTTCAACGCTCTATCTCTGAAGGTTGTGTTGCCCACGAAATGGCCTCATGGCTCGTCGCACAGTGGCGCCTTTTGGAACTCAAACTGAAGGCTGATAGGAACAATGCCAAGGACAATGCAGGATCATGGCCTTTTTACTGGAGTAAAAGCGAGCACGCTGGCCAACTTAGCAAGGAGTGGCCTAGAAACTTTCTGACAAGGTAATCACAAGTCATTGAGTCATGCCCCAAAAGGTGATCATCTTTTATTCCTGGGTCCTAAGCGGCAACTGAGTTTAATCATTTGGGGTTTTAAGGTTGCATTGTGGATTGCTTGTTTCAGAATATACGCTTCCATTTGCTGAATTGAATATGTTTTATTTTCCCCTGTTCGGGTATGTGTCGCTACTGGATGTTTTTGTTTTTCCAGTGGACTTCAACAAATGGAGAAAGGGCATTTCAGAAAAAGCCGAATATCCCCGAGACTTCGAGCTTCGGACACCCGGGGCAAGCCACCAGCGGGACCTCCCGAAAAGGCGTGTCTCAACATTAAAGAAGCGTCGGCCTCATAAAATGGCTTTGTTTTCCGTTTGCTTCCCTTGAACACCACTACAAAAAGGGAACCGATTCAAACTAACGAAACACCCACTTGTCCTTTTGGGTGTGGACCATGTTCGTGCCAAAACAGTTTAGATTGGCAGGCCGCTGGCTGGCTTCACGTTTTGTGCACATTCGGCCGCTGCTCCAACGCCACAACAACAAATTTGTTTGGATTTGATTGGGCCAATCTCGTTGGGAAGTGAGTAGCTGCTGGGCAATACAAGAGAGCAACCGCACCCAACGAATACCCAGTCACCAAAAGTACCAATGACCCAACATTTCAATCACCAGTCACCAAAACAATGCTGAACAATTATACATATCTTCTTCGGAAGTACCTGTTGGGCCAAAAACAATGCTGCAATGACTATGTTATATATTTTCCCCATGTGTCTGTTTAAAGGGAATCGATTTCACTGCTGGCGCTCTTTTTTTCCAGGGGACAAACAAAAGCAAACGGAAGCGTAGCCGCCCCTAGGTCTCCCAGAAGTGCCCTTCTCTCCCCTTTTTGGGGGCAAGGTTCCCCTGCTAAAACCGACTACAGAGAAAAAGTTGGTACCCTTATTCTCACCTCTCTACTAAAAGGACCTATGGAAGGGGCTGTAAGGGGCATGACTTGGATTTAGCACAAAATCGCGCTTTGCCCCAAAAACGAGCGCGCTACTGGAGACCCAAATCCATGCCTCGCAGTTCGCAGGTGGCACACGGAGCCGGACGGCGCCTTCCGGGCGCCGTTGAATGTGGCGGGGGTGGCGCTCTGGAGCACAGGCGACCGGCGAGCGCTCGAGTAGTCGAGTCGCGTTTTTTCTTCTTTTGTTTTTCTCTTTTTTTAAGTGCGCGCTTGGATCGCTCGGCTGGCAGGTTGTTTGTTTCCCGGCTTTTTTTTTCGGGGTTCTGTTGGGTTCATTCTGTTCATTCTTAGTGGCTTTCTGGTCTTAGATCTTTGGACTTCAGCTTTTCGGTTGAAATTGCGTGAGTTGTTTCCCGTGTTGGACCCACAAACAGTTAAACTTGCTGCAGAGGGGTCAACGGCAACCAAATAGCTCACTCCCCGAGCTCCTACGTAAACCATGTTAGTGGTAAACAAAATCTTTGGACTTTTTCTGACCAATCCACTCCAGACGTCAGATAGGGTTTGGTGGGGGGAGTTCCCTTTCAAATCAAACGACAACAACAATGTCAATTTTGTGGGATTGATTTCCAACTAACCAGGAGCCAGGGACATGGCAAGTTACATGCTCTGCTTGCCGGAGCCCAGTGCAGGGTTGTCACACGGCTCGTTCCCACTTTAGCAGGGAGCCCTGCTTGGAAATTGAGAGGTGAAGTCATTCACAACAAATTGTTATTTGTGTCACGGTGAGCAAGTCTCGGCGGAACCTGTCTATGTTCTCAGGGTCTAAGGATCCGACGAGGGACTTGAGTTCAGCATGTCTCCTTTGAAAGGGTTGTGCCGCCATTTGAAAACGCTTTTGTTTATTGCATTTATGGTTTTATAGCTTTGATTTTGTGGAACACGATACGATTGACATCGCAAGAATCCCCTGCAATTCCACCACAAGTGGAGAATAGCACTGTGGATCACTTTCTGTAGTGCTAGCTGACCTGGGCGCGGCCTCCTCAACAGTTTGATTAGGGGTCTCGGCGGTCCCGGCAAGCCAGTTGTCGAGTTAGAAAAGATGTAGTTTGGTTTGGCCTGCCGTTTCATGGGGTTGCCAGACCAGACAAGAAAGCGGTGGTGTTTAATTGGGTCCCTAGGTCCTCTTTTTTTAAACAAATCCATGCCCAAAGCGAACCTTACTGACTTGAGGGTAGGGAACTCTCTCAATGTTGCTTCCAACTTGGGAAACATCATTGCTTTACTGGGTTCGCCCCAATGGTCACCCCATGCAAAGGACCTTTGGATCAAGCCCCACATGTACTATTGAAGCCCTTGCTTTTCTTGGAGCCGAAGAAGGATCTCGCGCTGCAAATTTGTTCGTCCCCGATGAGTCCTGTCCAGGTGCATAGGTGGCCTTTTGACCGGTTGATTGGCTTGGTCAATGGCTGGGCAAGCTACTGGTTAAGATGGGTTTTGTAAACCATTTGCCCGGAAACCCATCTTTTTTTCCAAACCTATGGGCTGGTCTTTTCGAGGCCTAACGGTTAGGGGAGCCCAGGAATACGAATGAACAGCCAGAATAGTCCTGAGGATCTTCGGGATGCTGGGAGGGTTTCCACCACACCAGCCCCCACCGGAACTTGAGGTATAGGCATCATGGTCATCATATTCCTCCACTTGCCTATGAGCCCCGGAAATTTTGGTGTGGTTGTTTCCCCTCTTGGATCAAAGGGTCGTTTCTCTTGGCTCCGCAGAGTTCGGGTTAAGCCGAAGGACCCATCTTCCTCTGCTGCCTGGTCCTGTTTCTCACGCTCTCCGCCGGTGGAGATGCGCTCTACGGCACCATCCTGGTTTACATCTCAGGACTGGGTTAGACTCAGGATACATTTTACATTTTACCAGGAACTCAAAGGGAAGCAACCAATAGAATATACATTCTATAACTGGGCCTAGGCCTAATCATGAGGAGAGGTTTCTCCGGAAGCTGAGCGCGCCGCTCTTGGGGTGTGCGGTGTGTGTTGTTGGAACGAACCTTTGGAACGTTGGAAAAGCGGGTGTGTCCTTTTTGGAGGAAACCTTCTTGGGTTGCTTTTAAACGGAAACCAAAGGGAGCTTCCCCTATTTACAAACACGCAGAGACCCCCAAGACGGGTTCTCCAGTACCACACGAGAGGTGTTGTGAGGTCTTGTGGTCGTTTTGCCCCGTGCCAAAAAGCACCAGCACTGATTTGCAGACCTGCTAAGATGAGAGCACAATTCGCTTGGCGGTGTGAAACCAATTCGCTTGTTCGGGCTTGATAGGAATCGCCGTCAGCCGGCATTTTATATCTAGATCTAGATGCCCACATATCCCCACCATGTACTACAGAAGGAGTTTGGCCATAATATGTGGGTCGTTGTCTTGCGATACACCAATCCACGGAGCTCATCTAAAGTGAATGACAACGGTCTAGAAGATGGCCTGAGCTGACGCAGTGACGGAGCCTGCGTTTGCTTGGTCTCGTCTCAAAGTGAAAGGAGCCCTGACAAGGCCACTTGGACCCCTCCAAAGGTCCGCCTCAAAGCAAAAGGACTGACTTGGGTATGCCCCAAAGTAGCAATATGTTCTTTGGGTCCCTGTGAAATTGCCATCCAATGGGTTCCCCCCGAAGGCGCGTGGCTGTGCACGGTAGGGCGAAGCAAGACGTGTTGACAGCAAGTGTGGGGTGTTCACAACTTGGGGACCTTGTTTGTTTGTAGTGCTTTGAGGTAGTCACAAAGTCTATGAGATGCGTGCGGGCTTGAGGTGTTGATTGTAGAGACTAAGAACAGCAGATACCGGAAATTCTACAGCAAGCCCTTATCTTTGAAGGGTATTTGACAAGTTTCCTGTAGAAGTTCCAGCTTCGCCGGCATGAAAGGCGAAACCCAAAGGCTGCATGAGTAGCCGCGCGCGTGTGCGAGCGGTGCCAGCAGTTCCCGGTTGCTGGCCAGGAGAAGTGCTGTATCGCGGCTACCAACTTCGCAGATGACTTGCTCGGGGCAACTCGGCAGCTCGGCAGCTCACCGTTCTGCTTCTTCAATTTGGTTTAGAATATTATCATTTTGTTATTATGATTTTCACCTGTTGGTTTTAAAGAGAATCTATCACTATTGGAAATATTACATTTTTTCCAGGAGACTTAAATGGAGGGCTTGATTGGTATTGGCTTGGATCTTTAGACTTGAACTTTTTGAAAACACAACTGTGTTCCATTAATCGAACCCACAAAAAGTTAGGTTTTTTTCTTTTTTGCAGAGGGGGCAACGGCACCCAATTCGGATGGGATTTTGTACCAAAAACCGCGGTTTCAATTGAACGCCGTTCCAACGGCCTCTACAAAGGAATTGTTTTTTGGATTGCACGTGAAGTACCAAGAAATGTGTGGGTCAGGAGCTTTCGAGCAGAACATGGAGACGTGCCTGTGGCCCAAATAGTTGACTGAACCCACACTGACAATTTTGTGCAGGTCTGATATGACTGTGGATCAAAATTAAACCACCAAAACACCGCAGATGTTCGCATGTGTCCATTTCCCGCAGATGAGCCATATAGCTGTGTCAAAGTGGACGGCACCTGCCCATGCCAGTTTCATGATCCTCTTTCTGGGCCAGGGAATCAAGTTTTTTATTCTGGCGTACACCCTTTGGGTATTTCTCATAGGGGTCCCCAAAAATCCATAGTTTTGCCGGTTGGGGGCCCCGCCATTTTAACAAGCTCCCCGCTAAGTGAATTCAAGCTCACACAAGCGCCTCAAGGATACAGATTTCAGACTCTGATTGAGGACTTATCCTTGGCTTATCTATCCTTGGCTTATCTATCCTTGGCTTATCCTTCTTCTTTTTTTGTGGGGGTGGGGGGGGGGTCCTAAGTTCCCAAGACGGTAGACTTATCCTGCAAAAAGCGAGAAAGCGCCGCACTTGCAGCCCTGTTTCGTGTTTTTCAAGTTCAGCGAATTCATCAACTACTCCCACTGAGTGCCTGAAGAACCTAGGAATGGACCAGGAGAGGGATGGCCGGAGACCCTCTGATGAGCAAGAATCTTGAATTTAGGATCTCCTTCTGATGAAAAAGAAAAACAGTTGTGGAGGCGTTTGTGTCGAACATATGATGTTGTGACAAAACCCACACAACTTTCAAGCAGGGTCCGAGGAGCCGCCTCCAAGGAGCTAGGTTGACCCCTTTTTATCCTCAAAAGCCATCAAGAACGTAGCTGGACCCTCTGGGTAATGCCATGATCTAAGACCAGTTGGAGCCATTAGGCAAAGGTAAGGTGCTCAATCACTTTGACGACCCACGTATGGGGTTTATGTTCAAATTGGTTTCAAGGAAAGGCACCTTTAAAACTATTTTGACTCATACCCCTATGAGTCACATGAGTGACTATTCTCAATCAAGAGCCCCCTAATGCCCAATTTTCCTGCCAAGTGTCTCCTGTTTGTTTCCCGCTTGCTCCTTTTGTTTGGACAAAAAACTCAATCAACCAGCAAAGAGTGCCCCCTTTTTGTTTGCCATGACCGCTAGGGGGTTAGGATCATCCAGAAGGAGGGGGGAGGACAATCTTACTTGCCCAAAGTGAGTCGGCCGATTTTTTGACCAATTCCCTGATGCGGTCCATATGTTAAGGTTCCAAAAGGTGAGTCTTTTTTTGTTTTAATCCAGGTCCGACAAAAGCAACTGAGCAATTCATTGACACCTTGGACACCCGAGGCATGCTTTCAGGCGGCGGAAAAATGGCAGCGCTGGCGCGAGTGGTAGTGTTTCCGCTGGTTTGCCTTGAAAGCCAACCCAAACAGGGTACCCCTCAAAAACCAAAACCCACATCCTGCACCATTTGGGATGGGTGAAGCAAATGAAGACTGGTTGACAAGCCATTAATCAACCGCTGCAGGTTTTTGTCACAGTGTTTCAGAAGAACGAATGAGAGGGACCTGGGAGGGGCAAATGCTCTGGTCTTTCTTCCAATGCTGCGACTGTGTACCGGGAATATGATTCTGCTTCATTGGCGCGCCCTGAACCCTGAGCCCCCTCACATCCTGCTAGTTGCTGGTAACGTCACAGGTCGCCAGTGCACAAATTGCAAGTTTTGCAGCAAAAGCGATTTGGCAGAGTGTCAGAGGGGAGGGCTGTTGTGGCGGGGGGGGAGGGGGGGTATGGTTGCGTTCATGGGATGGTTGCATTCATGACGGATTGTAGAACGTGCATGGTTGAAGGCCTCACACATGGGATCCCTTGTTGCAGGAACATCGGCTAACTAAGAGTAGTTCGTTATGGGCCTGCGGCCTGCGGCCCACTAGCCCATGCTGTACTCCTTCGTATGGCCGGCGTTGGCCGTCCAAAGCAAAACTATTGGAATTCTGGAATCATGGAATAGGATTGTCCTCTCCATGTTGAACAGCCCAGGCTATGTGAGGGATGGTCAAGATCCACGGTCTGACAAGGAACCACATTGCGCTTATCAAAGACTACCACTACGAAATGGCCGTGGGTCAAAACCAATGGTACCATTTTGGGGTAGGTGCACCACCCAGTTTAGTCTATTTTAGTGGGGATTGGGATCTGAGGGTACGGGGTTTTGACCCATGGCCAAATTCTATGTCACTTGGGCACCAGCGGATAAGGACCGTCCTGTGTGGCAACCTACCAGTCGATTTACAGGGCAGACTGAAACATCTGTCGAACACGAAAGGACCTCCGCCAGGCATGGCAAAACTTGAGCACAGTAGAATGCGATGCTTATTAGGAGCTACTTCTTTAGCTTGTCAGCTCCAGCAAATGAAATGTTGTTTGTGATGGGAGACAGTAGCCAAAGCTACTTGCTTTGTGCCCTAAGTCGATTACTTTGATATCACCAAAAGGCAATTGTACTCGCAGAGGGCCGGGTTCCCAACATATGCTTTGGGTCAAAAGTGGGCAAAGTAGGTTTGCACAAGCAGTTCCAGCCTATGTAGCTGCGTGTTTTGGTTTTGAAATTATGTATGTGTTGAGCTTTACTTTAGGGAAGACTCAATTCTTAAATACGTGTTTTACAATAAGAATCGGACCCCCCAGAAAGGTCGCTGCTTCCTTTTGAGTTCGAAGAACCGCTAGGGGTGCCCTGTGCGGATCTCTCGAGGTACGTTATGCCTGCGACGCGCTTTGCCAGGGCATTCTGATCGAGGCCCGGCGAATACTTGTGGTTTCCGAGCCATTTCCCTTTTTGTGGGGTGCGGTGGGGTGGGGTAGGATGGAGTGGGTGGTGTGGATCCTCCAAAAGTGGAATTCGAACGTTGCCATGGAAACCACGAGTAAATTGATCAGCTTTTGATTTGGGGAAACCAGTGGCCCCTGCATTGCTTGTGGTCGGCTTTGTCGAGCCCGTCACTTTTTGTTGGATGCATCCTTGATGCAGTGGGAAAGCCCAGTTGTGGTCTATATGTTCAAGGCAGGCTTCCAAGAGGTGCTGGGGGTGTCCCCGTTTTGGGAGGTTTCAAAGTGAAGCCAGAAGCAAATCGTCATTTGGCAGATTTCCCCTATCTTCAGACACAACCGTGTATATATGTTGGACCCACTGTTAGCTGCCTTAGTAGGTGGAGCGTACAGGGTACGGCTGCATTCATTGACACGGGCTAAACAACGGTCCAGCTCGTTTGCATGGGAATCTCCCCCCCAAGATGGAATGGGGTGGTGACCTCTGAAATTTAATTTGTGCTGCGGGAAAGACTCGATGGAACTGGGGCCTCTCCACCTCCGTCAGGTACGAGGCATAAAGAAGTTCGGTCAATGTCTTTTGTATTCCATGGTCCATTTGGGAGGGACAGGGGGGAGGAACCCCAAATTTGCGACCAAAAAATAAAACGGACGAACCTGAATTGGTATAAAAATGTCCACTTACGGAAACCTGGCCCATTTCGACCTTGGCTCATAGGAATCTCTTCGTAGAGTGTACCTAGTTGAGGCCTACTAACTTTCCCTCCATTTGTTTATTTTTTGTTTCTTCCCCCTGTTGGTTTTAAAGGGAATCTATCACTACTGGAAATATGTTTTTTGCCCGGGGGCTTAAGCAGATGGAAGTTTCCCAAGCCAATTTTGACCGCAGTGGGATGTTGTTCCTCGCGTCTTTGCGACAGGTCCAGTCTCCGCAGCACAAGGAGCCGCCCGGCGCCAAAGGGGCGCTCCCCACTTTCTTGCCTCAGGTAGGTACCGGACCTGTTTTGGTGAAAGAACTCTTGGTCAATCAAGTCCTTCTTGGGGGTTTTCGGATAATGGAGTCCTGGTAAGTAGGTCATTTGTTGGTGACTCACATTCGAAGCAAAGTAAAGCATATTGGAAGTGGGTGGGACTGTCCATGTAAGAATGGTTGCCCGCTCTTTGGTCTGTGTTGAAGGGCAGCAAGAAGCCAGCCCGCTTCGATACGACAACCGTGTGAGCGATCTAAAGGGTCTAGCTGGGTCACATGTCGCTTTGCATGTTCGGAGCGCTCCTATTCATTGTAAAACAATGGTAGGCAACTTCACGCGTCGGTTTCGGACCAAGGCTTCAAGGACGGGAAAGCAACAGCACATGCATCTTTTTAGACTCGTGGGAAAGCCGCTGCCCGAACAGCGATATTCAATTGGCCTGTTACAAGAGTCCATGGGTGTTCTGTCCCAATAAGGACAGAACTCCTTTGAGTTTTTCCGCGATTCCGCGGGGCCAGAACGGGACGTGTGGGTTTAGACTGGTTCCGGCCAGAGGGTGCCTTGAGGATGGCTCTATGGGCGGGTTAAGCAGGGTCAAAGTACCCGTTTAGAAGGCACACGGAATTCTAGGACACTTTGCCCAAAACGGCCAACGTAAAACAAAAGAAGTGAGAGTTCAGTTTTTGCTTGAAGAACACCTTGTGAAACATCACACTTTGTTGAGGTCCCTATTTCTTGGAAGCCTCAGACAAGGAGCGTGTGTTTGGGAATATATATTTTTTTGGACTCCCGGTTCTTGTCATGCTTTTTGACGCCAATTTAGCACCAGGAGTTCCAATTTATGCTTTCATTCCCCTTGACTAGGAGGAATTGGGGGACCCCCTTCTTCCTCTGAAGGCAAGGACGCTCATTTGGGAGGGAGATGTACAACAACCAAACTCGCTAATGTTCCGTGTCCTTCAGGAAGAACATGCATAATGGGCTTTGCCCAGAAGGCTTTGTCTTAAAATGGGGCACCCCCAAAATGGCTGGTGTCCTCTTTTTTGCCTTAAAACCAACCTAAAAAGGGTACCCTCAAAAAACAAACAAACCCAAATCCTGCACCATGTGGGACGGACGAAGCCCTGCTAGGTCCCCCAGTAGTGCCCTTCTCTCCCAACTTTTTTGGTTGGGAGGGTTCCCCTAGTAAAATAGACTACAGAAAAAAATCGGGTACCAACTTATTCTAACCTCTCTACTGGAGGACCTAGCCTATGGATACTGGTTGATACGCCACGCAATTGCCAGGGGATCCCTACAAGACACACGAAAGGAACCAACTCCGAGGCCGCCTGCCCGGGCAAAGCTGCCGGCCACGTCGCGTGCTCGGATCCGCGGATGGGGCTCAGAATTTATTCCGCTGTTTTTGTTTTTTGTTTTTTGATTTGTGTCCATGGGTTTTGGTTTTTGGTTTTGGTCTTTGGTTTTGGTCCATGGGTTTTGGTCTTTGCTTTGGGTTCCATGGGTTTTTCGGATTTTTGGTCCGAAGAGATGGGCTCGCTCGCCCAGCAGCTGCAGCTGGACAAGCAGCAGCTGAGCCCTGAGGAACAGGGCGAGGTTTGAGCGCCTGGCCCGCGATCAGCTGGTTGCCACGGAGCTTTTTGAGGAGCGAGGCAGGGTTTCTAGGTCCAGTAATTGGTGCAACCTTTCTCACCCAACTTTTTTGGTTGGGAGATTTGGTTCCCCTACTAAAATGGAATACGGAAAAAAAATCGGGCACCGACTTATTCTAGCCTCTCTAGTTAGTGGACAGCTTGGTGGCCGGCTTCGGTTTGAGATCAGCCAAGTGGATGATTCCGGGGCCAATTGCGTTTATCGTTTTGGAGGGTCTCATTAATACGGCCTGAGTTCCTGGGTTTTTTATGCTTTGTTGGGCCCATCCACGGAAGTGAACCTAAGGCAATGTGTTTTGCGATTTCTTTGACCAAATCACCGCATCTGCAAACGAATCGAGCAATGGGATCATAAAGCTGTCGCCCGATCCTATCGTCGCCCTTTCTCTTTGGAGGTCGCCGGACAGTTTTTGGATCCGAGGAACAATCAACGCTCAATGGCATCCCACCGAAATTTGTACGTGCGCGCGAACTGATTTGGGTCTCCCAGTAGGGCACTACCTTTTACCAACTTGCTTGTGGGAGGGTTCCCCTACTAAAATAGACTACAGAAACAAACATCGGGTACCAACTTATTCTAACCTCTCTACTGGAGGACCTAGTTATTGTTGGTTGGGTAACTGCTGATTGTTGCTCACTCTAGTTGGTTGCTAACTGTTGCTCCGCTCTTCTAAATTTGGGCATGGTACGAAAGGAATGCCTCGGGGCAACATGTAAATTGGAAATGGGGATGAACTCACTCTCGTTGATTTCTTCGGGCATGTCCCCATAGAAGAGTCTCCGAGTTTCCGTGATTCCAACAGGCTACTTTTCGCGATCGGATGTTTACCACAGTGGCCACAGGCCCATGCCAGGTCACACGACAAATAAGAACACGACTGGGGTTGTAGTCGATGGTTCCAATTTAGTGGCTACGTACCAAGATCAGCACCCTTGTCTTTGTTTCAGGCGTAGCTAATTTATAAAACCACCAAACAATTAGTACTTTCAAAAAAGACAGCCATCTAAAGAATCCGAAGGTTGAAATTTGGACAGACTCGTTTCCACCCACTGTTTGGAGTGGATTCTGATCTGGGGGTGGACTTGAACTGCTAGGGTTTCAACATTTTGGTATGTGTCAAAAAAAAGACCCCCCCAAACAAAACATATGTATATACACAAAATGAAGCAGATGCTCGTGTTGGTGTCCTGAGGAAATCCACTCCAAAAATCCTCAGAACACACGCACCCATTTGTCACGAGTATTTTTTTTGAGAGGCCAATGTCCTTCAGCGAACGGATTGCAGATTCTGGACTCTTATCCCGGATATCAGACAAGGACTGCTGGGGGTTTCCTTATCTAGGTCCCCCAATAGTGTCCTGTTACCCTTGTTTGGGGGAGGGTTCCCCTACTAAAATGGGCTACAGAAAAAAAGGGTGCCCTTATTCTAACCTCTCTACTGGAAGACCAAGTTGACATTCTTGTTCCAGCCATTGTCTCGGCCATTGGACTTATACAATTAACAGGCCACATTGCTCTTCATCGCGAAACCAGTCCCTCCTAGCCACCCGTGTTAATTTGCAAAAAGGCTCCGAAAGACCAACCGGCCGACAGATCAACACACAGATCGACTTAACCTCTCAAGACAAAAGGAACACATGGCTGCCTGTGTTTATTTAAGGGGCGCATGGCCAACGAGCAGGACATGGATGACAATTTGCCCGCTTACGGATTGCAAAGTGGGAATGTCTATTTGACTGTTGGATCACCCAAGTTGGTGGTTTTCCTTTGGTTTCCCTTTAAGATCACAGAAAATGGATAGCCTCAACAAAAGCCACACTTGCTTTTGCTTGTGGTTTCCCCTCAAAAAAAAGGGAAGACACAGACCAAGGCGATTTCAAAAAAAAGACGCGTTGGTTTTTTTCCGACTGCTATTGAGGCTGCGGCAGCGTTGTTCTGAGCTCTGTGAGGCGCTGCAGGCCGAAAGGATCCACTTTTTCGGTGTCCTGTTATCAGCCCAAAGGCATGTGCCAAACCGGAGTTGCCTTCCATTGAACAACCCCAAAGGAAACCAAAAAGGAACCCAAAGTGAAACCCAAGCGAAACCCAAGACTAGGTCCCCCAGCAATTGGTGCCCTTTCTCTCCCAACTTGTTTGGTTGGGAGATTCGGTTCCCCTACTAAAATAGACAAACCAGAAAATGTTTGTTTCAGAACAACAGCTTCCATTTACTTCTGTTTACTTTCTATTTGCGCCCAAGTATGGCTGTTCAACTTTCATTTACTGAAATGAAGATATTGTTTATTTTCACTTGGTTTTGAAGCGAATCGATTTCACTCGCGAACATATTTTCTCATATTCTTTCAAGGGCTTAGGCAAATGGAAGTTTGCCCACTTGGGGGTTGATCACAAGGTCCGATGAACATGGGATGACCATTGGTTGGAAGACCAAACAAGAAAACCGACTTTTACAAGTGAAACGGGACAAGTGACTCATAGTCATTTTGGGGCCCACGCGAGCAACATGGAGGTGTCCAATGGAGTGTGTTTGTGAGACAGTATCCTGGCGGTTCCCAGCTGGTCGGGTCAATTTTGGTTTTTAGTTGGTTTTAGTTGGGAAAAGCTGGTTGGGTTTCCACTCAACCCACAACAGCGGATCTGACGGATGAAGTTAAACTCCTGGTTGATTATAATTGGGGGGTGTCCCCTTTTAAGTGCTTGGATTCAGACCACTTTTGGAGGGACCACCTGTAATATTGACTCCATGTATGTGTGTGTGTGTGCGCGCGTAAGCAACATTGTGTTTGGTTGTGTTGTTCTTTGTTTTGTTTGCAAGTTGCCAAGACCGAGTCAGATTGCCTCTTCACAGGGTTCTTGGACCCTCAGGAATTCTTGGTGGCTTCGAACCAAGTTCTTAGGTGTTTGGTTAGTTTAGTGGCTGGGTTTCCATTCAACCCAATAAACGTTCATTTTTTTTGGCAGGGGATCTGAGGGCAGCCCGGATTTCCTTTTTTTCCTTTTCCGCACAGTGAGTGCACATGCACCTGCGGGATTCTGGCTGGGTTCAACGGGTGAAAAGGATCTATGGACTTGCCCGACAAAAAAAAGACACTTCAACAACTCTATCCAAAAAGGCTGCGGGTGAAAACCAATGGGATCCCATTTTGGGGTAGTGCACCGCCCATTTTAGTCTATTTTAGTGGGGATTGGGATGTTCACTGGGGGTATGGGCTTTTGACCCACGGCCAAAAAGCTGGGTGTGGTCCAAAACAAGTTACCGACCACTTGGAGAAGTCCATCGGGTTGGTCAGACTCTGCTGACACAGCTTTCCCGACCAAACCTGAGCTTGAGTTGGTTTTTCTGTTTTGGGGTCTTAACATCGTCCCTAACAAGTTTGCAGTTGTTTTGTTTTCCACCGGTTGTTCCAAAAGTAAAGTACGGCCGGATGCAAAACACCAGTTGGATGTTCGATTTGCCAAGTTAGTGGTGATGGCTACTTGGGGTATGCCCTTGTGACAAGCTTAGCCTCACTTCGGGGGGCTCATGACTGGGCTATATCCGAACGGTTCCCGACAACTTGCTATCTTGGCGACTCGAACACCCAAGTAGATAATAGCGTTGGAAATCCGGCCAACATAAGAGAACTGTGCCTGGGTAGCTCTGCTTTCTCTTCATGTTGGGAAGGCGCAGTTCCGCACAAGTGACGCCCGCTGCGCTTACGCTTCTATGCAGGCGTTTCCTGCACAAAGGGAAGCCCATACTCTTGCGGCTGGTCGTGAAATGGAAAGCAGTCCATTTTTTGGGGTTCTACAGTGTGGAAGCACCTATTTTTTTAGGGCAAAGGCGAAATGTTTCTTTGAACATGGAGTGGTTGGTGTTGCCCAACACTTTTCGCATGCGTGTTACTCACCATTGGACACCCCGAAACTTCCGAGGAGAGATACGTCCGTACGGCCTTCGCCTTTGGGCTGAGATCCGTCGCGCGCCTTTCTCGGGATCAGCCATGGCAGAGCCAGTGATCGTGCAGGGCAGGGTCATCGCGACGCCCTCCGACCCACAGCCAGGCCACTACCAGCCAGGCCACTACCAGCCAGGCCCTTGCTACGGACCCGGCACAGATTACCATGGCGAACAAGGCTATGGGCGTCTGGCCTGGAACTAGATGTTATGGCTTTCTCCTGGAAACAAACGTGACACCTAGCAGTTTGATACCAATGTCAAACTACCATGGGTTTGTCTTTTACTGACATTCCCATGGGTATGTGGGAGCTTCTCACGAGGGGGCCATGGTTTGAAGCTGAGAGAGACTTACAGGCGTCATAGTGTTCAGCCTGTGGGTTGGGGCTAAGGGTTGAGCCCTTTTGGATCCTTTTTGCTGAAATCTGAGAAACTTCGATCTTTGCCTGCGACACTGCAAAAAAAGGACCCGTGTTACCTGTTGATCTAGCAACCCGCTAAGAAAAGCAGAGGTTTAAAAATAATATATATATATATATATATATATGTATATATGTAATAGAGAGAGAGAGAGAGAGACCTTAGATAATTGCGCACCATTTGACTTCTCCCACACCGTCGCACATCCGCTCCCTGCAGCCACATCTTCCCCTTTCAAGGACGCCTAAGACACCCCTTTGGACGACAAGACCGCAGCTGGGATCGGTTTGTTTCGGGGGGAAGCAGGTTTGTGCATGAGCTAGGGGCGGAATAAAGGTGAGTCTGATTTTCCCGTCATGACTGCCTTATTCTAGTTCACAAAAATCCCTTCGCTCTCTTGCAGCCTCGAGGCAAGCGCATGGGAGCGGTCCCTACGGATCTCCGGTTCCCACAGCATACGGGGCGCCACAGCACGCCCAGCCCCCGAAGGACCGGGCGCAGTGCTCGACGTCCGTTTGCTCGACGTCCGGAGTTGCAGCAAGGGAAAACCACAAGGGATGGGGGCTGATGAGATTTTTCCTTGTGCTGACCAAAGAACATGTGGCTGTGGGTTTTAGTGGGGATTGGGATGTTCACTGGGGGTACGATTTGGATTTTGATCCATGGCCATGTGTCAAAATGTCAGGTTGACCAAGTTTCACTGAAAGGATGTCGTGGGCTTGGGGTTGCTTGTCCTTGAGGTGGGGAGTTGCATCTTCTCGACTTGAAAGAATGCGACCCGGACCCCAGAATCCAGGCCTGTAATGTAGGAAAATGACTTGCCACGTGAATAGACCAAGCGTCTGGCAACGCTTGGCGTGGCTTCCGACTCATTGAAATTAGCGGTGTCCTTACCGCCCAGGTCGCCTTGGAACCCGTATCCAAGAGGGCAGAAAGTATTGGAGCAGCCTTACCCACCACGTCGGGAAATCTATCGCCCAACAATCTGAGGAAAAAAAACGTAAACACACGAAGCATACCCAATAGTTGTATAGGAGAAAATACCCACCCACACCCACCAGTTATTCTGGAAACAAAGACAAAACACGCCCGAATCAACCAGAACACGTACCAGACACAGATTCAGATGGGGTTGTCTCAAAATGGGGGGGGGACTCCCCCAAAAAATATCTTCCTGAGTTCCTGAACTTTATACTATAACAAGTTGGGATGTTTACGGATGTGAGATAATGGGTGTCCTTTTGGTTTCCCTCTTTTCCAGTTAGCCAACGGGAGGCTTTTTCCCCCCCCCCCCCGCAAAAAAAGACGAACTTAAAGGGGCAGAGTATTCAGTGGCTAGTATGTCTAGGCAAACTAACCACTGTCCAAGTACCCGATCGCCCCTTTAAGAAATGCCATGGCATTTTGGTTTCCTTTTTTTCACTCACCAACAAAAGTTCCGCCCCCCCCCCCCCAATAAAAACAAAAATAAAAAATGAAAATAACTTCCCCCCCGAGGGCGGACGCCCAAGGGATTGTAGTCACATGGCCAAAACCTCCGAACTCCGGCCCAGGACGACCTCGCGGTGGTGCAGCCCTCCTGCAAGGACGCCAACCTGCCGCCGGAGCTGCGACTGGGCTTCATCAAGAAGGTCTATGGCATCCTGGGCACCATGCGCCTCGGATGACCACGCGGAGCGCGGCATGAAATCTCCAGACACCGCGTTTTTTTTTTTTGGCGTGGCTCAAAACTGGGAAACCCTCTTTGTGGGGTTGGTAAGGGAAACCCAAAGGAAGAACGTAAAACAAGGAGGTTCGAAACCAGGCTCAAGCCCCTTTGTGGGGTTGGGAAAAAACAACAAGGAAGGACGAGATACACTTCGGGGGTTGAAACTCCGATTTTGTTTAGTTATAATATCTTCTCCAGAATCAGCTCTCCTTTTTGTTGCTTTTTTGGGTTCCCTTTTTGTTGTCCACTGACCTGGCAAAAGCAACCGTATTTTGCTACTTCCAGCCAAGATGTAATGTACAAAGCTGAATGATAAATGGGTTTGCTCCTTTCATCATGGCTGAGTTTGGCTTGAAAAGAACCCCACAACTTACAGCCCATTCACAACCCATACGATTTGTTTTAGGCCCTGATAGGATGGATCTAGGAGGTCCCGTACTCGGGCCCTCCCCCATTTTCGATTTGGGAATGTGCAGATGCTTTCGTTTCCAGGAGCCAGAGGCCTTTTTTTCCGCGCGCAGTTTCCTTGGCTGCAAACAACACTTAGAAATGATGGGGACCAAACTGCGAGGACCAGTCCTTCGTCGCCAGGCTGTTGAAACTAGGCGTCAACTTCGCTTTGTTTCCCTGGGGGAGGCCTTCTAGCGCTCTGGACATTGTGAAGCGGCACGTGGTGCCTTGCTCCTTGCCGGGGATGTTGCAGTGGCTTTGTGTATTCCAACTACTGATGGAGGAAATCCGTTCGCGCCACCTCAGAATCCCTGGAATGATGATTCCAACCTGTAAATGCCAACAAACACTGGGTTCTCATGATTTCAAACTGGTGCATGAGTGGATTCTCCCCAAGCAGCATGCATGTTGTCTGCTGCGTAGACCCTCAATCCTGGATTATAACAACCTTGAGTCATTGAGGCAAGTCGATCTCGCAAGGTCCTTGACTTTCTGTGAGTAAGTCGTACTTAATCTGCCCAACCCTTTTCAGGGTAATGATTTTAGAGACTTCCAAACCACACCACCCATTGTTCCTGGGGGTTGTGTCCAAAGCTTCTCCAGCAGTCCTTTCAGTTTTTCAGGCTGCTGATCACCTTCGGCATCTCTACGCCCTTTATCTTCGACACCAAGCGAACCTTGTGGTTCTTCCACCGGAACCAGCGGCCCGCCGCAATCTCTTCGGGTTTTCGAGTGAAGTCGGCTCGGGTGAACTCGGAGCGGCCTTCCCGATCAGAAGTCGGCCAAGAAAGCCTGGCTTTTGGGTTTCCTTGTAGATTCCAAACAGATTGCATGGGAACCCAGCTTTTTACAAATTACTCAACTGGGTTCCCATACAACCAATTACTCAACAGGTTGAAAGGTGGAACCTGGCAACGTGCAACCGCGAATCCAGCTTTCAACTTTCAGGTGCCTTGTTTTAAAGCCAGGTTGTCTAACCTTTTGGTTGGCAAAAAGGCAAACGAAAGGGGGGCGTGTCAATGGGCACCCGGATGAAGTTAAACCCCTGGTTGATTGGGCTGTTTTTTTAATGTGGGAATCCTTCACTTGGAGGGACCACCCTATTAGAGGACAGGTTTAGAAAATGCGGGGTCAATATGGGTGGTTCGTCGTTTTTGGAGTTGGTACTCTTCTAAACGTTGGTTTAAAGGAACACCAAAAGGGAAACAGAAGCTATTGTGATGGGGTCCCCTAAAAACCCAGGTGAGCCACTTGCTCAAAACCCGGGTAAGTGAAGGTTGGTGAGTGACGAATCCCAGCCGTAACTAGCTGCGGAGTTCCGCCTTCTTACTTCTTGAAGCGTGGTTCTGGGTCGACCATTTTTGTACCGGGTTTTGAGCAAGTGACTCAGGTGGATCCTCTACGTGGTTGGCTTCATCGTGCTGGCGCAGGTGATCTTCGACCTCTGCATGTCCTGCCAGCTCTGCTGCGGAGGCTCCGGACTGCTGAGGAGCCCTGGAACTGTCCTTCCATTTGCTTCAGAAGTTTGCTTTATTTTCTCTTGTTGGTTTTAACAAGGAATCTATCACTACTGGAAATATGTTTAGTTGTTTTTTTTCCTGGGTCTTGTCCAAATGGAAGCTAAGGAGCTACTTCTGGATGATGAAGACGTCGCCCTGGAACTATCTGCGCCCTGCGAACGGGAAAAAGGGGGGGGGGAGCAAAGAAAGGCCGAAGTTGAAGCAACCCTATGTTGAAGGTCATATTGCAAACGCATGGAACAGGCAACCGGAGTATTGAGAACCCAGGACGCTCCCAAAAAAGAGAAGAAACATCACTCCTTAACTGCCGTCTAAGAATATGAGGCTTGGTTCAGCCCACTTGCTTCACACGTTGAAACAACCCACTGGTGGTCACCTGAAGAGGAACCAGAAAAGGAAAAAAGAACACTGCCCAGTTGCCCAGTGGATTCCGCCCCGTTTGTCCAACCTTTTTTTGGAGTGTAGGGGTCCGATTCCTTCACACTCAACCAACCAAAAACGGATGCCCTTTTTTTCCCGTCGCCACTGGGCATCTGAGACTCCTCAAAACACACTTGCTTGACATATGAAACAACCCATGTGTTGTCCCATTGAA